TCTCTCCAAGGAGTGTATCTACCTAATGTAAATGTTCAGATCATATACCTATCTTCTGTTTGGCTGGAAGATACAGGAGTGGGTTCAATTTCAGACCTGAAGGGAAGCTAGGGGCCACAGTCTCAAGGGTTCCACCAGGCTCTATCAGACCAGCAAACCTGGTATCCCCCCCCCCCTTTTTTTATGTCAATCAATCTCTTTTGAGATATAAAGGAGATTAAACAAGCAAGTGAGTGAGCAGGGATGGGTTAAGATAGTGCCAAGACACGTGGAGATCTCCAAGGAACCAGGAAGCAGAAGCTGAAGAGACAAGGACCTTCCTCCAGAACCGACAGAGAGAGACTTCCCCTAGAGCTAGCACTCTGCATCTGGATTTCTAGCTTCCCAAACTGTGAAAAATAAATTTCTATTTGTTAAAGCCACGCATTTGTGGTATTTCTGTTATAGCAGTACTAGATAATTAAGACACCTTACAAAACCACAGTGCAGTTATCAAATTTAGGAAGTCTAACAGTGATGCACTACTTTTATCCAATCTACAGATAGTATGTCAATTATTTTAATAAATTTCTTTATGGCTTTGCTGGGTCCAGGGTAACTTGCTAAGTTCTGTTATCATAGAGCACTTGTCCTTTTCACACCTCAAATCTTTTTTTTTCAAGGACCAAGATGAAAAATATAAAAACAGGTAAGAAACTTTTACATTTTTTTAAGTCCTTCAGAGGCTCTCACACCTGAGGCTTTACATGCAGTAGACACTCAGTATATAATGACTAAGTTGAATTGATTTCTATTTCTTGAGAAAAGACAAACTAGTACTTCCTAGAAGATGGAAGAAAGTGATCTTTTTTTGGACTTCTAGACTCCTAAGAGAAAAAGGTAGAACATGGCAATATATTTTTACTATAAATAAACACACAAGAATTCTGACAGAAATAAAAGTAGTAGAGCAAAGATTACAAATTAAAAATTCAGAGCAAAGAATCCCACCTATGAATTCTATGAGATGATCTTTCATCTCATAGTAATGAAAGAGAGTTGGTTGAGAAAGTCCTAGCTAGGGAAAGCCTATGAATATTATTATATTCCATCAAATATTTATTGAGCATTCAGTGGATGCCCTGTGTTTCCTTCTAAGGAAAACCTGCAATTGGAAAAAGGAATGAGTGGCAGAGTTTCTCATATCAAGGAAGTCTAACAGGGAGGCCCCTTTTGCTTTTGGCAGGTTGGGAAGTGGGTGGGGAGAAGCCTGTTTGTTCACCACAGCAATACTAGGCCAAATGCTTTCTCACTGAGAAGCAAAGCCAACTCTGACTAAACCTGCCCTGGTGTAGTAATCACTGAGCAATTATTCATAAACTAGCTTTTTCCATATAAGCAGAGAAAAGCACACAACTCATTATGACAGAATTCAGATACAGGGAAGTTCACAAAGGAAGCTTCCAAGGAACACAGCATTGTGTACCAACACAGAAAGGAACCCAAGCTACTGGGATGGGGGATCACAGAGCATGGGCCTGGAATCAGTGACAAAGTGTATGGCCATTCCTCTCCCATTCTGTTGGTCCATTAAGATAAACTTGCTCACTCAGCTTGTGACTACTATATGGCTCTGGCTTCTCTTTGGGATGGCTGACCAGAGATGTTCCCTGACACCCAAGTGATCTGTATTGCCTGCTGATCATCAACCCCTATGTCTATATGATTCAGGAGAGGCCTCCAGCTTGATGCCTGAACCCATGGACTTAAGACTTGCCAGCCTCTACAACTGTGTGAGCCATTTCCTTGAGATAAATTTCTCTCTAAGCTTCACTAGTTCTGCTTCTCTAGAGAACACAGCCTAAGACAAATTGTGTTCCTCTAAAATATATCACTAATATCACATGGAATGTACGAAGTATGAATCTAGGAAAACTGGAAGTTGTCAAAAAGGAAATGGAACGCATAAAGATTGATATCCTCGGCATTAGTGAGCTGAAAT